CCCCGCTCCCCTCGCTAACCCCATTTCCATACTTTCACCTCATCCCCAAAACGAACCAAAAAACAAACCACCTAAAAATAGCCACCATCACCCACTACCATCACAAACATACCATCGACCGCTACACCACCACTGTCACCACCAACCCATCGCTAATACATTGCCCAACCTCGCTAGCTTGCATTTCTAAAGCCATCACCATTCAGGAGGCCAGTGAAAAATGTCATGGCTTTGACTTGCATTTCTAAAGTTGCAATATAATTAGTCGCACTTTCCCAGCACCTGCACTTTCCTTTAAAAAGGCATCAATTTTTTCTTAACAACTGGTTTCTTCATTCGAGAAATTTCAGTCATCGATTTTACCATTCTTTTGTGTTATCCTGTTGACCTGAGCAAGTCAACCCATGAGAATTTGCCGCTCCAACAAGTCCCGCCTTTGGCAGAGTTAGCAAGGTGCAAGGACACGATCTACAACCTTGCGGACTGCGCGACCGAAGACAATAGTGGAATTAGGGTAGCGAAAGTGGCAAAGAGCATTTACAAGCTTCAATGAGTAGATCTGTTGCTTCGCCTCCGTCTTCCATCTCATCTCCTCAAAATGATTTTGATACTTAGTATTCGCTCTCAATTTTTCCTTCTCTTTTTTGGTTTTTTGTATTATTTTATTTTAGAAAATGTAAATTCGATATTTTATCCTTCACTTATTTTGTTAAATTGAGTCAAACATCTAATTTAAGAGTTGATTAATGAATAAGTGGATGGAATCTGTTAAATGGACTCCAGTTGCAATGAAAGTTAAAGGTTTGGGACTACGATCGTAAAAATAAAAAGTTAAGGAGAATTTTACAATAAAATGAAAGGTTTGGAACCTTCGCTGCAATCACAACAATACAATTACTGTTCCTATGTTAATTTCCTCCGGAAAAATGAATTTATGCAACAGCAGCAGTCCATATAGAGGAAGTTCGAGCTATTTCTCACTTTTCTCTTTCACTATTTTAATTTATTTGCTAAGTTCACTATAATTAACTCCAGTTATTATCAAATTTGACTTCTAAAAAATAAACTTTACCCCTAATAAGTCGCAGGTTGAATCTAGTCAATATGTCACCCTTCAACTTCATTCACCTCAAATTTTAACAACAGATTTTATAAAATTTCCCAATTTTTATTAACTCTTCAACCGTCCATTTTATTAACTTTATCAAAATTTAAAAATCTAACTTTTAGCTGCACCAAACAAGATCTCAATTTTTTCAAACTCAAAATGTCATAATATTTTAAAATAAAAATTTCATATAATCTTTATTTGGTAGAAGTTAAAATTCAGATTTTAATCTTAATTAAAGTCAACAATTAAATTTAACCACACATTTTATGAAATTTACAATATTCTGATCAAACATTTGATTTCTGTAATTAGTAATTTGATTGTCGTGTAATTAATAGAATATGATTTTTGTAAATTACAATTTGATTATTGCAACCATCAAATTTTAATTCTTGAAACTAACATTTTGATTCTCGTAATTAAATGAAAATATTGACATTATTGTTTATAAACTTCGATGTCAAAACTATTTGATGCATGATTTCACGTTCTTCTCGACCAAAAAAAGTTATAATTTATAACCTAATGTTTAAAAAATTTTCATCCTATAGAACTTTATTTAGTCAAATATCGATTGTTTAGTCAATTTTATTTTATTTTTAATATAATTGACTCGACCGTTTTCCAATAGCAAATTTGTTAAAAACTTAATTTAGTCAAATATCGATTGTTTCTTTTTGATAGCGTCTTCCTTAATTCTTCTCTTTCGTTTTTCTCTGTGAATGTACTCTGTACCCCAAAAGTCGACATGCAAAGCATTGAAATCATCAAAAAATCTTGAGTGAATGCACACACATTTTTGTGGCGTTGAAGAGAGCTATACATACAGTTTATTCACAGCAAAAAAACTAGCAGTGAAGTTAAAAAATTAATAAATAGAAGAAGATGAAGAATGAAGAGCAAGTACGGACTCTGTTTGGGATTTCTCTCTCTGAGAGGCCCAGATGGAAACAATTTCTCATTTGCTCTTCTGGGTTCTTCTTTGGTTTATCTTGTCAATGGCATCTGTGAGGTATATAAATTTGAGAATTCAAGAAAAAAT